CTTTGAGGACATTATGCCATACCCAAACATCAACCTGGCGAAACAGCAAGGTTTTGATGAGCACATCCTTCAAAGCTATCTTGCGCAGTTGTACCTGCGAAAGAGTCTGAATCAAATCCACCAGATGCTCTATAATCCCGAGAACCAACGGCCGCTCAAGGCCGACAGCGGAACGCCCACCGAGGGTATCATCAATTACATACAGGACACTCTCGACATGCGCTTTGTGCCGCCGGAGTTCAAGTTCAAGCAAACTGATCCTCCGGCGTCTGATATTCTGGCCGCGCGGCTCCGCGCCAAGTACTGGGGCGCGCAAGTGATCACGTATCGGCCATTCATCCGACAGATTCTTGAGCTTAGCCACAGGCAAACGTCGATGGAATCGCCCGCTCCAGTGTCTAGTACCGACGGTTCAATGCCGGTGCTTTCGCCAGATGCCATGACGCCGAATGGAGTGCCTAGGGACGTGCTCGAGTATGCGCTCAAGGGGATACAAGCTCTGATTGAGAGTACCCGGGCATTCCATGGGATTAAGGACAAGAGGTTTATAATTACCAATGTCTTTGGGACTGCCCATGCGTAAGGCCCCGCCCCACTTCCTCTTTGTTTTGCTGGACTAACAATAGACTTTGCGCAAATTATAGCCAATGGGGCAACCTCCTAACACTGGCTGCTGTATTCCGAGACCCAACGCTTCACAATTACGTCGACGAGCGGACTCTCAAGGAGCTATTCCAAAAGACGATTGCCTTTTTCAAGATCATTGCCCAGCCGACCAGCGCCTTGGCGATTGATATGCGAATTCTGGAAGGGCTCGAGCGCGAGCTCTGGGGACGGCGGTATGGTGTTGGTACAGAGCTGCCGGTGAACGCGCACACCAACTCGAGCTTTTCCAGTACTACAAGCGGAGGGCCGCCGCCTCCAGCTCCTCATGCCGGTGGTCCATCGTCGGTTGGTCCTCCTGCTATGTTGCAGGTCCAGGTCGGTGGTCCGGGGATGATCCAGAGCGGACCCGGTACGCCGATTGATAGCGGTAGTGGACCAGGTGGGATGCCGCCGGGCGCACATCTACCACCGACACCCACTCTACCACAGCCACTGCCGCCGATGCAGATGCAAATGGGCCAACCGCAGCAACATCCGCCAATGCAACAGCATCATCACCATCCAGGACATCCGGGACATCCATGACCCAGGTTATGACAATTAAGTTGTTGATGGATTGTCAGTAAAAGGATAGACCTACACCGTTTCGGGACATTTAAGTTCAAGCTGTACCTTTTTTTTCTTTTCATACTTTTATATTCCCGAGCACATTTGTTTTAACAATGGACGAACTCTTGTATACAAAGAGGAAGGCTGGCAACACACAACATGGAACACGGCGTTAGTTCCTTCCCAACAAACACCAGCATTATTTATTTATGATTTTAATTACTTCGAGGCGTTACTTTGTTTTCTTGGGGGGTAGGTGGCGGCTTGCTTTATACGTTTTTGCTATTGAGCTTTGGACGAATGAGACGAGGTTTTGGGAGAGATGTCTTGTCTTGGGTTGTGGCTTGGTCTTGATACATTTTCCCAACGAGCGTGGCGGGCGGCTTCTTTCGCACTTCTTGAGTCACAATCTCATAGCATGTGCACTGGCTTTTTTTTTCTTTTTCTCTCCCTGTTATATTTGGACCCCTCCTCATGGGTACCCAGTCGGGGGCTTTTCCTTGCTTTTTTTGTGATTTTTGTTCTCACACTTCTCACCCATTGTTTTTTATTCTACAAAGGGAGCGAGCAAGCGCAGGGGAAAAGATACTACGCATACGCACAGTTTAATACGTATACCTCTTTTTTTATACGGATGACATATATACCCATAGCATGGGATGGATGTACCCGATGAACATTGCCTTGCGGGTTTCTTATTTTAATGGTCTCCATGTCCTTGACCTGGCCGGTTGGGTTGGTTAGTTGGGCTGGCTACTCTGTTTTTGTTTACAGTGTTGTCCTTTGTTGTCTCCCCCTTCTTTTGTTTACACGCCGGCTTGTCGGATAAGGGGATGGGTGCGAGCAAGGGGGGGAAGAAGGGCTGTTGGCTTTTATTTTACCATAACTCACACACCACCTATCATACCTTTTATCTTACTACATCTCTACCTTCCTACGCAGGTATACATAAGGTACATACAATATATAATCGACCCTTTTTGATATACTTCACACTCTTATTGTTGAAGCCCAGTATATATACATTAACAGAACAATTCAAACAACCCTATTCTCGTTCCCAACATAACCTACCGCCGCCCTTCCGCAAATGCATCATGGGGTATTTTGATTTACAGAGAGAGAGAAAAAGAAAATGTCGTTACCATGCCACCAATCCTAACAACGCCTTCCGTTACCGAAAAGAAAAAAATGATGGAAAAAGGGATGGACGAACGGACTAGAGCAACACAACAGCCAAACAGAGCCAGCCATCCGGGTAGGAAGCCTCTCTCATCAGCTCCTCCAGGGGTGCTCTAAACGGCACGGAGGCTCCATGACACATGACGGTGGCCAGGACGGGATCTCTACTGCTCGGGAATAGCGACGGCAACACGGTCTTCAGTGCAGCGCCTAAGGTCTGAGGCGGACCTCCATTATCTTCTGTCAACCCCTTCTTCTAAAAGTCGAATGATGATGAGGAGGAGGAGGAGGGCTTACTGGTTGCAGCCAAACGGGGCGGGACAAGAGTCTGCATCACCTTGAAGGAACCAGGGACCGCGTCGGCTGCGTCTGGCGGCGTGGAGGGGATGTAGATGCGCAAGGGCACGTTCTTGAGCGGAGTGGGCGCGTTGAGGAGGAGGTGGGTGTTAATTTTTGTGAAGGCGGCGTAGTCATCTGTGAAAAAGCGGGTAGTTGGTTATTGGTAAGAAGGCTTTTTCATGTGCGGTTGGTCACACAAGAAAGACGACAACTCACTATCTTGAACAGCGTTCCACAGGGCGGTGGTGTGTTCTTTGCTCAGGCTCATGATCTGCTTGGCATTGCCGTTGCGGACAAAGTCTGCCTTTTTTTTTGCGAGTCAGTATCACGGGTATACATAAAGAAACGATTCGAGACAACATACCTCTTTGGCGGAGTTCATAAACGTATCGCCAATGTCCCACTCGGGCCCATCGCCCACGACGAGTTTCCACGGCAGCGAGGGCTGGTACAGGTCGGCCAGCAGGCCCACGGCGAGGTTCCGCAGCTGGACGCCCTCATGGTGGAAGCTGGAGCACGGAGCATTGTAGAAAAGGTTCAGCCGGGGCAGGAGGAGAGCCAGATAACCGAAGCGCGGAACCGACGTGATGAACGGGTTCGTTGGCTGCGATGTGTGGGTGATGAACAGGGGGATGCGCAGGCCCCAGAGCGTCTGCGGGATCGTGTTGCTGTCAACGACTTCTTTCTCAAGTGGTGGGGGCGTGCTGTTGTTGTCGTTATTTCGGGAGTCTCGTCGGGTGTGACCTTGACCATGGCCAGCTGCTTGTCGACCACTGCCTTGCAACGCCCCAGCTGCTGCTGCGGGTAGCGGTGATGGCGATGACATGATTTCCTTCCTGGCCGTCCGTACCTGTAGTCGTGGTCGTCCAATGAATCTGAACGTGACTTGGAAAGGGGTACGGAAACGACGTGTCAGGCCGCAAGTACTTTGCCTGCAGTGTCGGGTAGGTCCAAGTAGTTGTTTGGCGGGGTTGATCAAACCGCCGTGTAGATGAGGGGCGCGATAAGGCTGGCGATGCCTAGCATCAAGCCACTGCTCAGTGTCGGCCCGGGTGGCGTGTGGTGCTTTCGGGCGTCCGGTTGGGTCTCGACTGCGGCCTGCCCCAGACATGCAGACACACTGCTCCAATGAGGGGTTCTGGGGTCAATGAGGTGAGCCAATCACGAGGCAGGCAGTCATCATCTCATCACCCTTGCGCTCGCCCGTTCTCCAACGCAACTCCAACACTTGCTCCAACACTTCTTCCCCAACGCAACCCGCATCGACAATCCTATGCAGTTTGTGGGTCGGGAAGTGGTACAGCTTTCTCTTTCGCTGTCTCTTGTCACATCAAGATCATGCGTTGGACATTCAAAGGTCAGGTAGTATTTCCTGCCACCGCATTCATCTATTTCGGGCTCTTTCGTCCGGACGGTCATTCTTCTACAACACAGTAAGGCGTAAGACGGCCGGTTAATGTTGATCGTAAAAAATCCTTTCGGGCCAGCGAGCCGATCACCAAACGCACGCACGTGTTCCACAAGGTCAAGGAGGTAGGTGGTCAGACAATCGACAGACGGACGACCCGTTCTTACCGTAGAAAATATCGGTATCCATATACGCAAGCTCATCTCCAAAGGCAGGCTACCGTTTCAATAGCGCATCTTCTTCCAGGTTGCCATGCGATGCCAAGCGCAACTTGCAAGGCAAGAAAACCACCACGACGGAACTTAGGTTAGCGTCATTGAGAGAGTCGAAACTCGTACCTTCCTCCATCCAGTTGAGTGAGACAAGAGGCAAGAAACAGCACGCTGCATTAGAGGAAACGAAAAACATTCCGTACACCGGTTTACTTTTCGGCGCATACGGAGACGGATAGTTATAGAAAGTACATGTTATATCTGCATTCTGACAAGCCACGTATCACCCTCTCGTTCCCGGTGCTTATCTTCTGGTCATGCCGTTACACCAGAAAGTCTGAAAACGTGTGAGGCTTTTATATTCGCACTTTGACGCCATGTACAGATACTTGGCCTGCTTGGTGCGAATGAAAAGGTGTTCAGCCCCCCGCAAATGAGAATGCAACAACCAAACATTGGCGAGCGACCCAGTGACTCTCCAGAATCGGTCTGCAGTTAATAACATCTGGGTCTTATTTTATACATATGTCCTGTCTGCGTGTCTGCGTATCGACCTGTGTCTCTTTCATCTACCCAACAAATCCAAAATACACAAACAACCAACAATGTCAGACATCAACAAAAACGCGAAAAAGATACGTTGTCTCTCCCGCCGGGAATTGAACCCGGGTCTCGAGCGGAGTCGGGTGCCTGGGGGCGGATGACAAGCTCACATACTGACCACTATACTACGGAAGATTTGCAAGTGTGGACACTTGCCGTAGCGGATGTTTGATTGAAGTTGTCGTGAGTATGGTAGTATATGACTGACTGAGTCCCATAGTGGGTGGGCCCCTTTTTTTCCGACTCAACAACGTCAACAAACAGCACGTACCGGTTAACCAGCAAGCAACATCATATTAATCTCAAGCAAAGTGCCATTGTTCTCTGATTTACTTACTTCTACATACACTAAAGGTTTCGTTAAGTGCACTTCCCTAGATAAAGACGTTAAGTACCGGGCATAGCCGCCGTCCAAGAAACCAAGTGATCGTGAAGCATGACCGAAGAACACAAATGAAAGCAAAGAATCAAGGCGCTGCTTAACTGCATTATTCAAAACAGACTGATTGTTGGTAATGCTCGTATGTTCTGCATAAGAATGAAACGAAAAATTGGTATAATAATAATAGCAGCACGAAAAAAGCGAAGCCATCCATGTACATGTCGGTATCTCCATCATAAAGGAGAACAGACCAAAACCGCCACAAGTTTAAATAAATTAAATGAAACACAGTGACACATGAACAAAATGATAACAAAGTAAACATGTAGAAGTAGCGGGTCAACATGAAGAACACGGAGCAGAATATAAACCTTTCCGCTACCAGGGCACCAACAAAACGTCCTCCAAGTCAGCACGCAAGAAACCACCGCCATCAGCGTCATCCATATCCATCTCTGGATCAATTCCCGTCGATTCAACCCACTCGACTTAACTCAATCGATAACCAAACCAACAGAAACGAGGATATCCGTCTGTCCGCGGTGAATCCATCCGTCTCAACAATATTCGAAGTCACCTTTTCGACAACAAGCAAAGAAACAACATCCCTCCTTATTATTGCGTGTTCAAGCAACGCTAGCCTTCTTCCTCCTATTCCACATCCCTCTAGATCCCCCATCATCACCGACACCAGGACTGGGCGGCAGCGCAGACTGCAAACCCCCTCCCGGCGGCGCCGAGTTCTTGAAGAAGTCAGCCAACTCCGACGTCCCCCTGCTCGGCACCGATACCGCCTCTCTAGGCTCAAACTTCTTCATGGGCACCCGTCTCCCGCTCGACGGCACCCCGTTGCTAGACACAGATACTCCCATAGGTGGTCTGCTCGTCAACCCAATACCATATTTGTCGCTCACCCCCGGAGGCATGTTCACCTGAATGGGTATGTAGCCCCTCCCATTGGTGCTGGTGCTGCCACTAGTCGTGGCGCGGCTGTTTGTCGGCCTCAACTGGGTCTGCTGTGACTGCTCAAGCGGCGGACTGTCGTGCGGACTCTTAGGACTCAAACTCCCCAAAGACCCCCTCGACCCGGTCCGGCCACTATCGCCTCTTCTCGCAAACCGCGCCATCAGACCTTGGGCACTACTCTTCTTCTTTGGCTGCGACCGCGATTCGATGTATTGCTGCACCTGCGGAGTGGGCTCTGGCGGCGGCGGCGGCATGTTTTTCAAGAAATCCAATAGACTCTCCTCCTGGGGTTCTTCGGGCTTCCGCCTACTTCCGCCCATGGCAGCCACCATGTCATCCTCATCCATATCGTCCTCGTCGCTCAGATCAATCGCATATGGATCCCGTACTCTCCTCGTCTTGCGCTTCGGCATTGGCATGTCGCCATCAAAGTTGTTGCCATCGGTTCCACCAAATCGGTTGTTATTTGGTAGAGGCTTATTCCTCCCTGTTGGTAGCAGCGCACTCTGCGAATTGATCGATGACTGCACTGACGAGTACTCGGTCATGTTTGTGGACGCCTGGCTGCTTCTCAGATCAACCACCGCGTCGACGGCCTTACCGCCGACGGCACCAGACATTTGATCCGAGTCCATCGTTGTTCGGAAGGGCGCCACAGTTCGCGGAATACGCGGATTGCCACCTGTTGCACTGGGAGGCCCGCGTCGGATGAAGTCAATCAAATCCGAGTTGTCGTCTCTATAATCGACAGCAGCTTCACGAGCTTGGAGTCGCGCCCGATTGGGGTTGCTAGTCGTGGACGCCCGTCCAGACTCAATGCTATTTTTCGACACAGGAACAGGACCGCCAGGGTTGCGCACTGCACTGGGTCCCATCGAGCGCTGCACCTGCGGTACAACACCTCCATTTGGGCCAGTAGAGCGGATAAACTCAGCAAAATCAGCAAGCGACTCGCGTGGCATCCTCGCATCCCTTGCCTGAGGGCCGTTTGCTCGTGACTTAGTCGCCATGTTGTTTGAGGTGGACCGCGGTACCACCCCAGGCAGTTGTTTTCCAGGGCTGGAGCCATTGTTATTTCGCTGCACATCAGTAGGGGGATGTGATGATAGTCCTCCGTTACTGCGAGATATCGAGGTTGACCTCCCGATCTCGACAGGTTTGACGACAGATGACGATCGTGAGCGTTCTCCGTTTTGGCGAGCATCTTCACTCCTCCGGGACTTGATAGGTACGATCGGGCTGCCTGAAACAACTGACCGCGCGGACATTGACTGAGTCTGAACAACTGGATCAGAATCCGCTTGACATTAAGTAGGGAGCTTGTTAGGGTACTCACATCCATGTCTCGCATGCTCTCCGGGGTCAGCGTGTACTGGATGGTCTGGTCGCTGTGAATAAGGTCCTCGAAATTGCGTGCCACATCACCACGGGTATATGAGCCATCCTCGGAAGTCCGGACAGGCTTCAGCTTGTGGCTATGGCTCGACGTGGTCGAAGTGGAGCCGGAGGTATGCTGTTGCCGCATCACTACAGGTGAAGACTGCTCCTGGGGTCGAGGAGCATATGGTTCCGAAGGACTCCGGTTGCGAGAGCGTTCGACAGATACCTGACCAATGGTGGATGGCTGGGCGCTTGCAAAGGCTTGCCTGCTTGGGCTTCGCTCAGGAACGGTGGGCGGTGGTGCGGACAGTGGCGGAGAAGTGGATTTCGCAGAGGGCCGGGTCCGATTTGGTACTGGGTTCTTTGGTTCAGGCTCTGGGTCATCTTCGATCAAGAAGCTCCCAGAGGTGGTGGTAGATGACAAGATTGTCACTTTGGTTGTTTGCCTGACAGGGGACGAAGGTTTCGTCATGCCGTGCCTGTTGACTGAGCCGAAAATGGGTTGTGACACCTGCATCTCGGACAGACCATCTTCTTTAGGTATTGCAGACACTGGCTCTGGAATGACTGGGAGACTGGCGGATTCGGGAGTCAGTGGGGAAACCTCGTCCTCCGCAGCTTCCTCCGCTTCAGAGACGGATACGCTTGACCCCAACCCCGACCTTCCGCTATGGCTCACCGACAGCCTAGGAGCAAAAGTGATGTCGGGTGAGCGCCGGGTTCTATCGTCAACGATCCCAGGTGATCTCAGACTACCGCTACGAGATAGATTTCCCTGACGAATAATCTCGGTAGGGTCAACGGGACTGCCCCGCGATATCGTCACCGGGCTCCGGGGACCAGCCACATCGATCAGCCGTGCTGAGTGGACGCTGGGCGTTCTAGCTGGCAGGTTGGTGATAATGGCTACGGGCCTCCCATGTTCCGAAGTTGCTGGAGATGAGCTCCGCCCCGAAATTGAAATTCTTGATGAAGTGAGAATCTGTGGTTCTTCGATGAATGCTTCTTCCTCGTCCTCGTCTTCATCTTGATCGTCAAATTCCGCAACTTTAGCAGGCCCTCGCTCGGCCCGCGAAATGATCTCTTCAACGGGTGATACAATTGGGCTTGGGGTCTCCACAACTTTTGACTTTTGCGCCGCGTCCGGACCCGCAGTCTTGGGAGTCTGCACTTCAGGCGATGAATCATCAACTTCCGAATCCCCATCCAAATCTCGTGGGACAGCCACGGGTGTCTCCTCGCCAGAAACTGCTCCGCCATCGGTCTGATCTTGCTCAATAAGCACCCCTTCAGTCTCTTCTACTCGCTGCCTCTTAGCAGGGGAGTCAAACGGAGTTGCGGCAGGAGTTGGCAGCGAGTTCGAGCGTTTGCGCGTGGAGAAAACAGGGGTAAGTGGTTGAGAAGTGGGTGTTGGCGGAGTGGGAAATCCAAACCCGAGGAACATCATGCTTTTCGGTCGCGCTGGTGCGCTCTCCTCTTGGATAACATCGTTTTGGGGCTCATCGTCATAGGATACAAGTCCAGGAACTTCAATCTCATCAACATCGTTTTCCCCCATCGGCAATGGAATGGCTGCGGCTATCAGGTCTTCCTCGACTTGCTCGGGCATGTCCTCTTTGTTCTCTTGGTTGTTTACCCCACTCTCTTCCTCAACTTCAGCATCAGGCTCGGGAACAGTGGGGGGAACGGCGGGCTCAGCAGGTGTGCTGGGCGACCGGAGATGCCCAAAGCTGCCACGCATAGAATCCTTCGAGAACGAGCGAGACAGATTGTTATCCATACCGCCAAAAGAAGGAACAACAGGTGATCGGATCTTCTTCTTCCAGGCTCTCCAGAGCCTGCCGAGGGTCCGGTCAAGCGCGACTCGTTCCATATCAAACTCCTCGACGACAATCCTGTCGGCAACATCGGCTGGGCTTCGCGCGCCTTCCTTGAGCTCCTTTTCGTATTTCCCACACATGCGGTTGTATGCGGCTTGTCCGGCGACGACCAGGGCTGCTTCACCCATGAATTCCAAGATAGAGGTTAGGAAGATGGCGACAGCGGGGGACACCACCTCAGATAGGCGGTCTTCCATATCAGAGTTGAGGTGCTCTTTCTCCATGTGGTAGTCTTCGTCTTCCTCCTCCATATCGCCAAGGGAGGAGTATACCATACACCGGAGCCGCGCCCGTTTCCAGACCAACTCGAGATCCCAATCCCTGGGCGAGCCGGGATCTTGGGTCCGTGCAAGGTCCTCGTCATCGCCGCCAAGATATTCCCGCAACTCCTCGTCGGCCTGATTGATGGCGTCTTTGGCGAGCTTCGGCTTGAGGACCTCGGACACGGCTGGGCGCAGAGCGGAGAGGGAGGTTGAGCGAGCAGTGGAAAGGAAGTTGAAGAGAAGCTGGTCTAGGAAATTGTTGAC